GGCTGCAGATCCTCCTGGGTGCTCTGCCTGCCGGGGCACCGCGATGGGGCACCGGGATCGGCATCTCCCCGGTCCCACCGGGACCATCCCCGGCCCCGTCCCGCCGCCCTCCCACTCACGTGGACAGGTCCAGCCACACGGCCACCTCCCGCGTGTCCAGCATGATCCCGATGGCCTCGAAGGTGATGGTCAGCTCTGCCTGCGCACACAGGAGCAGCTCAGCCGGGCCCTGCTGCCGAGCCCCCCGGGACGGGCTGGGGGGCAGCGGGGGCAGCTCTCACCCGCTGGTTCCTCTTGAAGGGGTTTCCCAGCTCGCACAGCACCGTGTCCCCAAAGGTGCAGGCTCCGCTCTGGGGAGGGCAGAGGGGGTCAGGAAGCTCCGGCCGAGCCCAGCCGGTCCCGGTGGGGCTTGGGGCCCCGGGGTGTCCCCCCGTACCGGGCGCACGGAGGAGGGCAGCAGGCTGGGGGGCACGGTGACGTTGAGCAGGGCCTCGTGGGCGTCCTCGCCGTTCCAGGGCGCCGTGGGGACGTTGGTGATGTTGATGCTCAGGTGCAGCTTGCGCACGTCCCGGCTGTACTGCAGCACCTGGGTGCCGTTCACCCTGCATGGGGACAGCGGGGTCAGCGGGGGACACCCCCGGGGGACACAGGGACACTCGGGGGGACACAGGGACACCCAGGGGGACACCAGGGACACCCCGGGGGACACAGGAACACCCCCGGGGGACACCAGGGACACCCAGGGGGATACCAGGGACACCCAGGGGGACACAGGGACACCTCCGGGGGACACAGAGACACCCAGGGGGACACACGGACACCCCTGTGGGGACACCAGGGACACCCCCAGGGGACACCAGGGCCCCGCGTCACCTGGGCAGTGGCTGGTTCTGCTCGGTGACGAAGCTGCTCTGCAGCTGGAGGTTGCTGTAGCACTGGTTGTCGGAGCCACACTCCTTCTGGAACTCGATCTGCAGGGACAGGGACGCGCCCTGAGCCCCCGCCACCCCCCGGGACCCCCGGCGTGTCCCCCCTGCCTGCCTCACCTTGGTCTCGTTCTCGTGGGACTGGTCCTGGTTGAGCACGGGGAAGGCGGCCAGGGAGTGGGGGCCCAGCTGGAAGGTTCTGGGCCTCTCCAGCAGGGAGTAGTTCATGGAGAGCACGATGGGGTGCAGCTTGTCCCGGACGTTGTCCTGCGGGGGTGGGAATCACTCACAGATCCCTGCCGGGCCCCAAAACCAGCTCCAGCCACGGCTGGGGGCCCCTCTGCTGCTGCCAGGCCAGCGAAAGACCCCAGAGATGGATGGATGGATGATGGATGGATGATGGATGGATGGATGGATGGATGATGGATGGATGGATGGATGGATGATGGATGGATGGATGGATGATGGATGGATGGATGGAGGGAAGGACGAATGGAGGGAAGGATGGAGGGAAGGATGGATGGATGGAGGGAAGGATGATGGATGATGGATGGATGGAGAGAAGGAGGGATGGAGGGAAGGATGGATGGATGGATGGAGGGAAGGACGCTCACCAGCAGCAGCAGCTCCTGGGACTGGCAGCGGGTGTCCGGCATGGAGAAGTCCCCAGTGTAGGTGGCAGATTGGGACCCCGAGAACCTGACCCTGGGCGGGTGCCGGTCCTTGTCGGCCTCCAGCGTGTACTGCAGGGCTGGGGGACAGCACGAGTTGTCCAACACCCCCCACAAGGTGTCCCCGTGTCCCCCCAGTGCCCCCCACTCACTGATCCTCTCGCTGTAGCCGGGGTCCCCCGCGCTCTGGTTGTAGGAGAAGCACAGTGTCACCGTCATGCTGGGGGGACAAAGGGGCCGTGAGCCGAACCAGGGCTGCCACCAGCAGCCACGGGGACACCGGGGACACCAGGGACTCACCAGGACTTGGGCGTGCACTGGGCAGGGTCCACCTTGCTGGGGGTCACCGTGAAGGTCTTGTCCAGGATGTTGATGACGGGACGGGCTCTGGGCAGGGATCGGGCTTGGCTGAGCCCCCTGCCCTGTGCCCAGCCGGGGGGGCCGGGCGGGACCCCTGTCCCCTGTCCCCAGGGCTGTACCTGAGCAGGACGATGCGCTCGCTCAGGCTGCCCACCAGCAGGTCGGGGTAGGAATTCCCGTCCATGTCCAGCCCCCCGCTCAGCGAGTACCCGAAGGTTTTTATCTGGGTGGGGCCCAGCTCGGACCCGCTGATCACCTGGGTTTGGGGGGCAGGGGGTTCTCAGACAGTGCCCCGGAGTGGGGGTCTCGGGGGGTGTCCAAAGCCCCTGGCCCGGTCAGGGCTCCCCGGGGCCGTTACCTGCCGGGGTCGGTCCTGCAGCCCCTCGGCGCTGCTGTGGTAGATGTAAACCTTGCCAGGCCCCTCAAAAGGAGCCCCCACGGCGATATCTGGGGAGACAAGAGCAGGGTCAGCCCCCCAGGGCCCTCCCTGGGACCCCAAACTCCAGCCCTGGCCGTGTCCGGGGTCCCCCCCTGTGAGACCCCACAAACCCAGCACAGGAGGGAGGGAGGGTTGGGCAGAGGGAATACGGGGACAATCAGGACCTCCAGCCTCTCCCATCTCCTCCTCTTCACCCTAAACCTCTCTCCAGAGACCCCCCAGGCCCCCTCCTTTCCTGACCCCACCGTGAAGGCGTCCCCGGCTCACCCTGGAACCCGTCCTGGTTGATGTCCCCGACGCTGGCCAGGGCAAAGCCGAAGCCGGAGTAGCTGGGCCCGGTGAGGACCAGGCTGGGGAGCTGCTGGAAGCCCCCGGCCTCGTTCATGAACACGAACACGGCGCCCCCCACCTCCTGCTTCCGCTCGAAGTAGTAGGGGGCCCCCACCACCAGGTCCTGCCACCTGCGGGGACAGCGGGGGGCTGGGGGCCGGGGCTGGGACACAGCCCCCAGCGCACCTGAAGTGGGGGGAGACCCCCGCCAGAGCTGTGAAAATGGGATTGCCCCCAAAAAACCTCCCCAGAGCAGAGCTGGGACCCACAGAGATCCCAGGGGAGCTGCGGGGTGCTCCAGGTGAGATCCCCACCCTCAGGAGCAGCGGGGTGTGAGACCCCCAGCCCTGGGAGCTGCAGGGTGCTCCAGGTGAGACCCCCCCCCACCACCCCTGAGAGCTGTGGGGTGCTCCAGGTGAGACCCCCCCACCCCTGGGAGCTGCAGGGTGCTCCAGGTGAGACCCCCCACAGTCCTGGGAGCTGCAGGATATCCCAGGTGAGACCCCCACCCCTGGGAATTTGGGGGTCCAAGCCCACCTGAGCTTCAAGACATTCTAAGTAAGACCCCCACCCCCAGGAGCTGATAACAGATCCCAGCCCAGGTGGCCTTCAGGAAGCCCCAGGTGAGACCCCTGCCCCAGATGAATCCCCCTACCCCACCTGAGCCCCCTGCCCCAGGTGAGCCCCAGATGAGACCCAGGTGAGCCCCAGGTGAATCCCCAGCCCCAGCTGAGCCCCAGGTGAGCCTGAGCTGAGCCCCCTCCCCAGCTGAGCCCCGCCCCGCAGCCGGGGGAGGGTCGCAGCCCCTCACCCGTCGTTGTTGAGGTCGGCCAGGGCGAGGGCGCTGCCGAAGTAGGAGCCGACCTGCGGGCCGGGCAGCAGCAGGCTCCGGTTCAGCGCCTGCCGGGCGCCGCGGCTCAGCAGCAGCACGGCGCCCGTGTGCCGGTACCGGGGCGCGCCCGTCACCACCGTCACCGCGTCCCGCTGCAGCACCGCGCTGCCCGCCTCGGCCGTGTACCCTGCGGGCGCCGCGTCAGGGAGGGACCCCGGGGTGCCCCCGCGTCCTCCCCGAGCCCCCCGCGCCCCGGGCGAGCACCGGGAACGGCTCACACCCTCCCCAAGGGTCCTCAGGTGTACCCAGGTGTCCCCAAGTGTCACCAAGCGTCCCCAAGTGTCCCTAAGTGTCCCCAAGTGTTCCCAAGTGTCACTGACTGTCCCCAAGTGTCCCTAAGTGTTCTCAAGTGTCCCCAAGTGTCACCAAGTGTCACTGACTGTCCCGAAGTGTCACTAAGTGTCCCCAAGTGTCACTGACCTTCCCTAAGTGTCACTAAGTGTCTCTAAGTGTCCCCAAATGTCACTGACTGTCCCTAAGTGCCACTAAGTGTCACTAACTGTCCCTAAGTGTCCCTAAGTGTCCCTAAGTGTCCCCAGCATCTTTGACATCCACACCCAATACTCCCAGCTCCCAAAGCTCCTCCTCACCCCAAATCACCCTCCCCATCTTCTCCCTCCGTGCCCGACATCACCCCAATGCCACCACTGCCCCCCAGTCTCACCATCCCCCATCCCAGCGGGGTCTTCAAGGCTCCCTGAGTCCCCCCCACCCCCAGCGTTCCCCCTAAACCCCCCGCCCAAACCCCTGCCGGGGTCCCCCCCACCTATGTAGGTGTTGCCGTTCCTCTTGTTGGGGTAGGAGAAGTCGTGCAGGTCCCACGAGTCCCGCTGGAGCATGTAATCCGTGCCTGGAACGGTGAGGGGGGTCACCCACAGCCTTGGGGGGTCCCACGGGGGCACGGGCACCTCG